ATCGATTAATAGTAGTGTGGGAACTTGCAGAAAAGTAACCGAGTACAGTAATGCAAAAACTGTTATACTTGGATGCTAAAATGTACCAAATCATATATAAAAAAGCTTGTACAATAGGGAAGGTATTATTAAATACAACAATGTCAGTTGCACAGCACTCTTTGTTCAATAATTCGTTTTTTTTTGTTACATTTTTGTGTTAATTTGGATTTACATGCTAATTTGCTGCGATGTACAATATTTTTAAAATCTAGCGAGGCAACCCTTATAAACATTTATCGATTTTGTGGCATTGTGTCTGACATCGCTATGACATCTAATTCCAATTACAGATTTTATTAATCAAAGCAAATTTGATGCAAAAAAATAGTTTTAGCGTTGAAAAATTGTGAAAAAGTTTTCGTCTACATAAGCAGCGTAAGTATTTTGTTATCATTTTTATGAGAAACAATCAACAAAGCGAATAATAAATTGCCAAACATTTTACTGAGCAAAGCCGGCTGCAAAAACCGAAGTCGCATGGGCAAGCGTAAATTAAGTACGCTGTTTCCATTGCTTGTTTCGATACTTATTAGATTGTAAAATATTAATTAAGTTGTAAGTGATTTTACATCCTTAACTAGGCTCCTCAAAATGTCAAGTCTCGATATATACGATGATACAGAAAATATTATAAGCAGTGATGAGTACAGCGAAGAGGATGACGACGATCTAATGAACGCTGCTATTAGTTCACAGCATAATGGCAAGCCGAGGAACGCTGAACGTTCTTACAACAGACCACCATCAAGGAAGTCTAATAAAAGGGAACGAAGACTGCCTTTTAGAAGAAAATTATGCAGTAAATACAAGACCAGATCACTGAAATGGTAAATACATACTTGTCCCCATTTGGATATACTTTTTGATAGAATTAATAAAATTAATAATAAATTTTATCAAATTTTGTATCCAAACCAGGCTTCATGGTAAGGCGAAACGCGAAAAGAGTAAAGAGTATTTGCTATGCTTGAGAAAAAAGGAAGCGCCTGTACAGGAATCTCACAGGCGTGAAAAGGAAGTTAAAATTGCTAATACCTGCAAAGAAGATAAATTGAGTAAAAATTTATCAGAAACCATAGATTTAGACGAATCTGATGTGGAATATAGCTCGCCGATTAAGAGTAAAGAAGAAAATAGAGAAATATACGAAGAAGATATTGAAGACACAGCTAATGATGTGAAGGTGGAAATGCTGGCGGAGGTGGTTGTAAAGCCCGAGCAAGTGGTAGGAAAGCCGAAGGAGGTAGTTGGACAGCCCAAGGAGGTAGTTGAAAAAACAAAGGAGGTGCTTGAAAAGCCAGCTGAAGTGGTTAAAGGGCGAATAGAATTGTTAGAAAAACAAATTGAGGAGTTCAAAAAGCCAGATTTGGAGGTAAGAAAACATTTGTTGATTTAATTAAACTGTTAACTAATTCAAATTCATATCAGGAGATCAAAACCGAATCAATAAACAAAAAATCTCAAAAAAGGGCGCGTTCCCCAACACCTGACCTAGAAACAAATTTCAACGAAAATAAGAAACACCAACCGGAACGGCCAACTTCGTCACAATTATACAGACAAATCAATGAAATGTTTCCCAAACACGATGAAGTTATTGGAAATCATGTAAAACATAACAGTACCACATTAGATGCAGTAGATGAAAATATGGAACGACTAATGTTGGACATTCAAACACTGAATGAGATTTTGCAAGCAAAAGAAACAGAATGGAATCGCTTGTTGAATTTGAAAAGAGTTAAAGAAGAGATGTTGGGAAGATTATCGCGTGCTAAGCAGATAATTGGCATAAAAGAGCGTAAATTCGATGAATATAAATATAGCTTGCAAGCACTTAAAGAATTGGAAACATATTTGTCGGAGTCGCAATCGCCATCAACAACTTCGGTCAATATAGGGCTTTCCACCACGCACCAGCTAATTGAAAGTCGTGCTAGTATGAAGACAGAAGAATTGCAAAAGGAACGCAACAATACAAATCGTTTACAAAAGTATGGACTTGTTTAATATTAGAAAATGGTTGTAAATTTCTATTAAACAGCTTTATCTTTTAAGCATTTTAATATCCAGCAACATTCTACAGCGCGCTGAAGCCTCAAATTATGAAATGGATGATGTCAAAAGCGATTCGCCACCCCTTCACCACACAGCATTTAATGATGATAGCCCAGAGCTGCAAAAATATCAGTATTTGGAACAAAAAATCAAATCAAGAGTAGGTAGACAGGGGCAATTTATAGACGTAAAGAGCATGGTTGCTGATTTTCGGCAACAAAATCCCGTTGTTTTTCCACGCGTCGGAAAGCGTATTAAAGCAAGCGATGCTGGTTACAGTGTGAGAGCGCTTAGTACGCCACCAAATGTGAGTACAAATTTTGTTATCAATATTTCGCAATATATTCACTAATACATGTCTACGGCAATGAAAACACAGTGTGTTGATGCGAATAGTATGTTTATGGAAACATCATATAATGGCAATGGATCCAATTATACACCAACATTGGAGAAATTGCTTAGTAAATCATCTCGAAATAATAGCTCGTTACATGTTAAGCCCAGTGCGCCAATTACACAAGGATTTAAATTTAACACAGATAGCCAAAAAAGTTACTACCGTCTACAAAGTGATGGCGGTTGCAATGAAATTTCCATCACGCCAGTGAACTGTGTAAATCGCTATCCACAAAGAATACAAAATACAAAAGCAGGACTACTTCGAACGGCACTGGATGTGGTAAGTAGTTATAAATTGAGTAAAATCGAAATATTAAATTACACGCTTATAAGTCAGAGATTTAGGTCTTGTTCGAATTGCAATCACAACCGCAGTGTTGGGCAAATTATTAAAGTATCACGTTCTGTGTGAATTTCTAGCAATGTATTATCAGTTGGGCAGTTGCAACAATGTCGCCATTTTTCATTTCACGTGCCTCTTAATAATGGCTTATATGTACATATATTTAATATTTTTAGAATTCTCCATCCAACACATACTACGATATGTCCGATTATGTAAAATCCACTCCACATAAATCAATGCGCGACGTGCACAACAATGATCATCATCTACAATTGTGTCAAGAGTGCAAAATGCATGAAGCGCGCTTTGTATGCGCCGGTTGTGGCAATCAATGGTATTGTAGTAGGGAGTGTCAGGTATGTTTATGATAGATATTTATGTAAATACATTTTAAATTTGTTTTTTCTCGTTGGTGCTTCAAGGTTAATGCTTGGGATAACCATTCAGAAGTCTGCAGCGAGTGAAGATTAGAAAAAAACAAAAAAAAGCAAAGTAACTGCTTTTGACGCTGTAAACGTTTATGTGTTTTTTCATAAAATATTATACTAAATACACTTGTATGTCTTTAGATTGTAGATTTTCAGCATATTTCCTAAAGTTTTCATGACTTATGGCATCTTATTACTAAAAAATGAACAAAATTCAATAAACATAAACCACATAGCATTACATATGTATACACATTGCATTCTGACATGAACACAAATTCGGAATGTTTCCCTCGACAACTAATTTACGAAGTGGTACTATTACGCTAGTTAAGCACAAGCACCCCTAACGCGAGTGTCGATTAGTAGTAGATAAACGACTGTTACTCGATTATCGATTATCCATGGTATTTTCAATGTCGTTTTCTAGTTCAATAAGTGAGTGTGAATAGTTTTTAGTCGCTCATCCTTCTACAGTTTAAAACCGAATTTAGTATGCATTTCGCATACATTTTATTAATCTAAACTCTTAAAATCGGTGGAAACTACACTTCGGCAACGTGGGAGTCGCATGTACGAATCTCCGTGTGGAGCCTTTGGACATGGCAGACATTGCTTTGATGTGTCTCAATCCGACGAATTCGGTTTAAGGGTTCACTGGAGTCTGAAACATCTTTTCAGCATGAAGTGCGGCTTCATTCCGGTGTCTGTCTGTCGGAAAAAGCGTTCGCGTAAATGTACATGCAATAAAAATTTTACCAGTTTCTGGTTGTGCGCTGGGTGTAGGTAGGTACCGGTCACGAAAGAAAATGACTGCAATGAATAGTGCCTCGGATGAGACCCCTTTTGATGACGACCACGGTGAACATTGAAGGACTAGGGTTTGAGGAATATTCGCACCTTTGGCTCGGCTGCGGATGCGATAGTCGGGACAAGTTAATAAACACGACGGAACCGGCGACATCTACTACACTTGCCAGGTCAAGGAGCGCTAATTCTGTGTTGGGAAGACTTCGTTTCCGACCTTGTCGTTCTTACGTGAACGCTGTCCTGACACGAGACTAAAATTCTACCTTGCGATTTTAATGCCAGGATGAGTAAGTAGATGATTTTTGCTGATTGACTTCTCCGAAGCCCGAAAAATGGTATTTTGTGGTATTTGGCTCAGTCGTAAGAATATCGATCGATCTATTATTATTATTATTCGAAAAACTCGATCACAGCGGACAGCCAACGGCCACGCTACAATCGGACGCAACTCTAGCTGTGAGGGACTGTTACATTGGGTTGAATAGGAAAGCGAGACGTATTTTAAGCAATTAAAAAAGAGAAACACAGTTACGTGAATTCGAAAGGCATGCTTTGAAGATGCTAGGGAATCAGAGCTCTTATTTTGAATTTGTTTTTCAGAAACAGTGGCCTTATTTATATCATCTCTGCGAAAAACGGCTAGTTGGGATCCGAAATTCCCTATATTTCTAGATGACAGGACGTTACCTCTGCCATAGCCATCATCTAATGTAAAGTTTAGGAGAGTAGTTTCAGAACTACCTATAGTATGTACTATCGTCGGGCATGCGGTGGGAGACAACCTGAGTGCGGCTACGGCGTTCTCGAAAACCAACTTACTGCCCCATAGGACACCATTGGTCGTACTATCATGGTATACATCTTAGGATCTTGGGGGCCGTACCCTCATTCGTATAGTAATTAATTTTGTAAAATAATTTTAAATGTTCGCTTTATTGAGAATTAAAATTCAGATACATATATTACTGGATTAGATTCGAGGAGAAAAATATCATGTTCCAATTGGCGCAATTCCTTTTCCAAATTTGACTTCCTCAATCGTTTCGAGATGGTATCAGTATAGAGTGAACCAGCTTGGTACGCTTTAAATACATCATTAAAATGTTGTTTAAGACCCTGAAAAAATATTTAAATTAAAAAGCTCTTCATAAATTTACGTTCAAAAAACGTTTCAAAAACGTGTTTTTTTTTTCTTTAAATCTGAGCTGTTCCCAACCATTGTTATACCACTCACGTGAGTTACACTTCCTTCTTCCTCTTACCATCAATATATTCTCACGCTCCTCTGGCGGCAATTGGCGTATGGACGCTTCATTGAATTTGCAGCGTTCTGTCATTTGAGTCTGCTCCATTCTGCATGCCTCAAGCGTATGCCGCTTTAGCGCACGCAAATAGCAGGGTACCTTACCAAAAACTCCCGAGCATACATATTGTGGCACAAGTCCGGAATTTTGCAACTTTCTTGGAGTGCCTGTATGAAAATCTATATATTGCGGCGGATGCCATTTGGCCGCCGCATCCTTAATGCAAAGCACATTTTTCTTGATAAAATTCACTTTCTTCTTTTCTTTGTCGCGCTTCTCCTTCTTCAAATCTTCCAAGCGTGGTACTGGCGACATGAGTGCATCACGTTTGGGACAGGTATGGTCTCGTTTACGTTGCCACTTGACGCCGCCATTTTTGCGTAGAAATTCGCATGGCTCACGCAATGGTGTCTCGCTGTAGCCCATTGTCTTATGTTCGCTCTTTTGTGAACCAGTTAATAATTGTTTGCCATCTGGCAATTTTATAACGGCATTAATTTTTTTCTTTTTATCTGCATACTTCTTAGGTCTTCCAACAAAGCTGTTGTGTAGCAATTGATAATAATCAGACTTGTTTTCCAAGTGATTGATATTCTCGTTGTGACGGGTTATGTAGACCAGCGACATTATGTATCCGATTAATCTATTTTTCTTCAGTGCGCTTTTAGAAAATTTATATTTCAGTTTTTTTTTATCCTCTTAGGTCCGACCGACGTCGATAGTTTCAAGAGTAAAAGCAATAATTCCTTTTTCGTTGTATATAAACAATTTTAACAAAATATATGCAGTGTCACAAATTCACTCCGTGATTGCTTGATTTAAAAACGCTGAACTAATTTGTTTCCAAAGGATGGAAAATTATCTGTAGTTTTTTAGTGTTGCTAAGATAAGTCAATAAATAAGTTGTTTGAAACTAAATAATAAACATACTACGTCGCTTAGTTTCATAAGAAACTATTGGCAACAAAAATTATAGTAAGTGAGGATAGTACTATTAGTAGGGGCGAATTCGGTTTTAGTAATTTCCCTGGGTGACGGTCCAAAAGCAAATATGCAGTTGGAGACACCGCACACAGATCAATGATATGTGTACATCAGAACGTCATTAAATGAGAAGTTTTTGCGTTTATCTATTAACAGCACTTGACTCCAGAACATAGGCGTGTACACATGAGTCGCTACTCTCTTAAGTCCTGAACCCATGCGACCATTTACGTGACATTTTTTGGCGGAGGTATTTTTTTTTATCTTAGTTTGAAGTCAAAGTTATGCTTTCCTTTCTTAAACGGCTAGAACATGTGTCGCTACTCTCTTGAGTGCCCCATGCGACCAATAACGTAACATTTTTTGGTGAAGGTAAGTTTTTAATTTTCTTTTTTAAGTTTGAAGTCGAAATTATGTTTTTGTTTTTTTTTTTTTTTTGTTAAATTAACGATAATAGAATAAATCATAATAGAATACTTGAATATTTTTGATAATACACACTTCGTTTTTTTTTATTTGTAAAACTTTTTTTTTTCAAACTTTTATTGGGGTCACTCGGGATCCCATGTGACTAATTGTGTGATTTTCTTTATGCGTCTAATTAAGGGTTAATTAGCGCAGCGAAATTGGGGGGTAAATTGCGAATTCTACTCGCAATCCCAACCATATTGGACCAATTTGAAACTAGTTTTAAAACCATGCAGTCACGCAAAGAAGTAACATTCCAAAATGGACCCGGAAATATTAGTGCTTCATTCAGGCAGCGGAAGACTATCAAATTCTAGGCACAAAGTCCCATAGTGGTGTCACAAGTCTTGCTAGTCCAAATTGATTCAGAACTAGGGCGGTATTATCACTTGCGAAGCGCATGAATTGGGCGAAGCGAACGGTTTGGCGAAGCGAATGGATTGGCGAACGCAACTTAAATATGCATTAAGAGTGTTCGCTTTTACCAGCTTGTGCAAGTTCTTTGCATCGCGAACACTTTTAAAACCTTCTCTGCCTTTTAATTCGCTTCGCCAAACCGTTCGCTTCGCCAAAATCATTCGCTTCGCAAGTGATAATACCACCCCTAATCTCAAAATTATCCGTTCCATTTATGAAATGTAGTCAACGCAGACAATAGTTGGAAGCATACATGTATTGGTGACTAGACATTTACACGTACCTTACTAGTGGTAAAACATTCCGACTCATCTTTTGCGCCTTTCGTTACCAAAATTAAAAATAAATATCATCACACCATCCAAGAAATCTTGTTGCATTTTGGAATGTTCTAGCACTTTCACTTTGTCTATTGAACACTGCTAATCCTCTTCCATCAGTAAAAAGAATATTTTCGTGGGCGTTGCTTGCAGGCCACTGCAGAAGCTTCTTGCATATTTTCCATCTTACTTGTTTTAACTACGAAGTACACAGATAACTAGTGCATCCTTGAAAAGCTTACATGTGGAGGCCACGAAGGATTAGTGCTGACAGATCTAGAAAACATGTACTTACACATTTCTGGCGGCTTCGATTTTCTGTCATTTTTCTTATTTTTTTTATTAACAGCACGCAAACGGCCGCTCTTGATGCTGTCATATCTAGCTGGGAGAATTCTAAGAAACGATGGTATGCGGCTATTAAATTTTAATTTTAACCCACAACCGCAGTGGTGCGCGAATTAGTAAAGTTATCATGTTCGGTGTAAATTTCTAGCAACGTTTTATCGGTCGGGCAGTTGCAACCGTGTTGCGATTTTTCATCACTGCTGCAGTAATGCCGCATCTAACAGGCTCGTTCCTTCGGTATTAAAAAAATTGNCCACAGTTTCCCGGAAATTTTTAATTTTTTGCACAAAGTATGCTTCCAAAGTTTCGGCGCACTTATAAAACGATGAATCTTTTGGATTGTAGTAGCGGCAGTTGTCGAATATTTTTGTCATATCACCAATAAATTCCGATAATTTTGTGTATGCATTTGTATCCAATTTCTTTTCAATTTTTTGTAGATCTATTGAAACAGGAAAAAGGTAAAAAAAAATTTGAAAAAATATGTTATTTAATACACACCCATAGGTTCTTTTATGACTTTATAGTAGTCGGGCGCCTCTTCTGGGTCAACTGGTTCCATAAATGGCCAGGCACTCTTGTGTGCCTACAAGTAAAAAATAAAAATGTTTACTCAAATCTTACAAAACTATTTAAAGAGCATTGTTTTTCGTGTTACTTGTATTTGCTTGATAAGCTTCTTCAATTCGATCGTCTCGTTTTCGGACAAATTCTTCATATTCGCCAAGTTCACAGAGTTGTTGCGCTGGCATTGGGGACAAATATACTCATCTATAAATTCGGCTTCGCTTTGCACAATGCCCACACAGCGTCCATGGAACCAATCTTGACACTTATCGCAGCAAATGTAGAACTGTGACTCGTCATAGGGTTGGCGACATGAACAATATAGTTCTTGAGTCTCGCGTGCACGTTTGCAGTCATCACAAATGAATTCAGATAGTTTTTTCGACGCCTCCTCTGTAATGTTCACGCAATCACCGTGGAACCAGTTACTGCACAGATCACATCCAACATAGAATCTAATTGGAACGAGAGTGCAAATTTTGGTTACGTAGCAAATTTGGTTATTATTTTTGGCATGTTTTGGACTAAAATAACTTACTTTGTATCGTCGTATGGTGTGCGGCAAATGCAATACAATTTCTCTTTCTTTTTATTGAATTTCTTTTGTGATCTGGCATGGGGATTTTTGGACGGTGTCATTGCAGGTGATTGAGGAGCATGGTGATATTTCATTTGTTTATTTGGTCTAAGAAGAATTGAAACAAAAGAACATTAGTGATCCATGTAACTGTTTTAATGGACGCAATAATATTATTCAACGTCATTGCGTACGTCGTAAATTATGCCAAAATGCACGGCCGAAAAGGTAGACGACGAAAACTGTCGAAAACTCTCCAGTGCTGCAAAGTTTTCCCATTTTAATACACTAGTTGAATCAATTTTTAGCCAATGCTATGAAATTTTCGATACGACTCTACTCTCAAAAAACGACTAGTATTCGACAAGACCTCGAAATGAGGCTGATTACCTCTATTATAAAAAAAAAAATTGTTTTCTAATGTTCCTCCTGGTTCTATTGGGTGGAAATATGCAACCCTCTAACCACTCGGCTATAAACCAATTCAAATTCTTTCACCAAACATGATTGTATACTTACTTCTTTGCTTCGTTGGTCATTAGACGGCCGCCAATAGCAGCTGCGCCACTACCACTACCACTACCACCCACACCTCCACTAGAGGTATTGCCGAATTTTTTATCTGCATCAACCTTCTCTGAGGAACTTAATAATTCTGTATTCATTTCGTGCTTAATTTCATGCTGCAAATTACGCTCCAAGAGCGAACGTTTCTTCAATATGCTCTTCTTTAGGAGATCTTTGTGACGCTCGAGTGTTTGCTGTAAAGCAGCATAAGAGAATATAATAAAATTGATTAAATGTAAACGATCATTTAAGCATGCATAACAGCAACAGTGATACAAATAAAAATATGTTTTTTAATAAATGTAAATCTTCATATGCGTTTTTTTAAGCATTTTAAGCCTTGCAATATTTATGGAAAATGAATGCCACACACGAGAAAAACTTACATTTAATGCTTGATTACGTTGCTCATTGTCATCGAGCAATAATAAATCACCCTTCTTAGCACTGCTATCTCTGAGCGTATTATTTGTTGAATATGCGGTGATGACGTTCTGATCACTTATTGTATTTGACTTTTTCGGTGTGCGTTGCAACTGCTGCGGTTGTTGGATCCAGTCACCATTTTCATTTTTAGTTTTGTAAAGGTATCGCTTTCTACTCGTAGTAACACTACTGACAGGTGTACCGATTATTGTTTGCAGCTGTTGCTGTGTGATGGATTTATCCAGCTGCAGGTTGCGTTTTTCATCGTGCATAACCGTTATATTAGAGCTGCCTTTAGTGAGTACATTTTTGTTGTTTGCTATTTTTTTTTGGGGAAACAATCATTGAAAGAATGTGGATATTTTACAAAACACATAAATTAGCGAATAGAAGTGGACTTAAAACGTTTGCACTTACAAATTTGTATAAATCCTGGTGAAGTTACAATCAAATCCTGCGTTCCAGTGCCCGCACTAGGACTATTTATAATTGTGCTATTACCCCCTGGGGTTATTTGTTGTTGTTGTTGTTGTTGAATTTGATTGTCTTGTAGTATGGTTGAGTCTGACTTATCTTGGTTTTTTGTTGCATCAATTTTATTGGCATTAACTTCAACGCTACTGCTACTTGGTTCAGTCACCGTTGTCTTAGCTAGGAAGGACGCCTGCAAGTGTTGCGGAAGGCAAAATTAGCTCAAAGTATGAAGTGATGGACATTTACAAATGCTGTAAGTAGCTACTGGCAGAGACAAATGTTAAATAATATTGAGTCTTATGCCGAATTTAAGTGCTGTGCAGGCAAGCAAGTACGCAAATCAGAGATTGAATGTTGAGCGCCGCCTCGCGAAAATTGAAGATGCTCGCATATTTCTCTTACCCATGTCTCCTACATAGGTGGCAGTGTGGCTGTCAGTCAAGTGGGTTTGGAGTGATTCATCATGTGCGTGTTGTGTTCCTTTGCAAGCGGTTGTCTATCTTGGAGCAAACGGCTCGCTATATAAACGTTCATCCGGTAGCGAAACCACCCTCGTCCCAGCAATGGGTTGTCCGCTGGATTTGGGACCCGCCACGTGAAAACAGGCTTCAATGAAAAATAATGCCAAAGCCTCGGATGAGAACCCCCTTTTGATGACAACCACGGCAAACGTTTTAAGGACTACGATTTGAGGGCATGTACTTGAAATGTCCGGACCCTTAACGGGGAAGGTGCCGCTGCCCGGCTGATTGATGTCCTTGTACAGACAAAAGCTGAGAACACAGTCATCCAAGAAGCGCGTTGGACGGGGCAAGGCAAAAAATGTTTGGGGCCTTGCGACGTCTTGCTACAGCTGCCATGTAAAGGAGTTGGATTTGTGGTTGGAGAGACTCCGTCGTCGAGAACTGCCGTTCACCCCGATGGACGAGCGTCTAGCCACAATCCGCAACAAAGCGAGATTCAACATCTCGCTCATCTGCGCCCATGCCCCGAGGGAAGAGAAGGACGAGACGTTCAACGGTCTCTTCAGCACATACGAGCGCTGCCCCGCCATATAATCAACAACAATGCGTTTGCTACTCGACTCTCACACCTGCTCTCACAGAGCAGTCAACAACAAAGCGATATTTGCGAGCAGTGGAACCATGTTTCCCGTTCCCCCGACGCCGAAGTAGTCAGATTTCAGCGAGCCAGAAAGAACAATTGGTACGATGAGGAGTGTCAGAAAGCTGCAGAGAAAAAAGATGCCGCCTACAGGACCACGCTGCGATCGGACGCAACGCGAGCCATGTGGGACCGTTATAGGGAGCTGAAGAGGGAAGCGAGAAGTATTTGCCGCAATAAGAAGAGACAAGCCGAAATACGTGAGTGCGAAGAGCTTGAAATGCTGGCCGACAGGAAGAATGCCCGAAAATTTTATCACAGAGTTAGGCGACTTACGGAAGGTTTTAAGACCATGGCGAACTCTTGTAAGAACAACAAAGGCGACCTAGTGACTGATGTCCAGAACGTACTTAAATTATGGAGGGAACACTTTTCCATCCTACTGAATGGTAGCAGCACTGAGCAGCTGATGACGATGGAGTCGATGTACCACCACCTGACTATGACGAGGTACGAATAGAAATAGCGCGCTTGAAAAATAACAAATCTGCTGGAGCTGACAGCCTGCCAAGTGAGCTATTCAAGTACGGTGGCGAGGAGTTGATAAGGTGCATGCATCAACTCTTATGCAGAATATGGTCAGATGAAGGCATGCCCGACGACTGGAATTTAAGTGTGCTCTGCCCAATCCACAAGAAAGGCGATCCCACCATTCGTGCCAACTACCGCGGGATCAGCCTTCTCAGCATAGGTTACAAGGTCCTATCGAGCGTATTATGTGAAAGACTGAAGCCCACCGTCTAAGAACTGATTGGGCCTTATCAGTGTGGCTTTAGACCTGGAAAACCCACCATAGACCAGGTGTTCACAATTCGCCAAATTTCGGAAGAGACCCGCGAGAAAAGGATTGACACTCCCTACCTATTTGTCGACTTCAAAGCCGTTTTCGATAGCACTAAAAGGAGTTGCCTATCAGTTGCCGTCAGAATTGGGAAAGACCACTCCGAGCCGTTTACTACCAAACGGGGTTTCAGACAGGGCGACGAAGTATCTCCTGTCATCAAACAAACAGTCTGCGCATTCGCGCCTTGGCACCCACGTCACTGTTAACAGTTATAATTTCGAGAAAGTGGAGAATTTCGTTTACTTGGGAACCAGCATTAACACCGATAATAATGTCAGCATCGAAATTCACTGCAGAATCACTCTTGCCAACAAGTGCTACTTTGGACTGAGTAGGCAATCGAGGAGTAAAATCATCTCTCGACGTACGAAAACCACACTCTATTATAAGTCACTCATAATGCCCGTGCTGGTATATGGCGAGGAAGCATGGACAATGACAACATCCTATGAGGCGGCTCTTGGAGTGTTCGAGAGAAAGATTTACGGGCCTTTACGCGTTGGCGACGGCGAGTACCGCAGACGATGGAACGATGAGCTGTATGAGCTTTACAATGACATGGACTCCGACGCTCCAACTCTGAAAGTATTCAACTCGGAACCCGCCGGTGGTAGCAGAGGAAGAGGGAGGTCCCCTCTGCGATGGAAAGACCAAGTGGAGAGGGACTTGGCTTCACTTGGCATTTCCAATTGGCGTCAGTTGGCACAGAAGAGAAACGACTGGCGTGCTTTGCTGAACTCAGCCAAAATCGCTTAAGCGGTTACAGCGCCAAATAAGAAGGTAGGTGCGCCGAAAAGCGTTGGAGGCACGGAGCAACATGGCACACAATGAAAGTAATTCGGATTGCATTTGGGAGCGATTTAGTGATGGAGCCAAATAATTTTGGGTATGTTGAAAGTCGTACGTTTGACATCAATGTTCAAGATGAGCGATACTTTGTGAAAAAGTGTGGCTCTTGCTTTGGCGGCAGATATTCGGAAGCTAAGCAGAGTAGAATATCTGGCTGAGTTTACGAGGTAGAGGTCGAGTTGCCAATATAGAGCAGCCATGAGATTATGGAGGTTAGCTTCACTCTACTGATAAAGACCACCATTGCCAATTGGAGTACCACTAAAATGGTCTAAGCACAGGGAATGCTCTTGGATAGAGGGAGTCAATTATTTGCTCTGGCTGTAATGCTGTTGAATACAATGTTGGTGCTATGCATCTTTCGCAATAATGGAGGAAACGTATATCTAGTCTTAACCAACGGGTCGGGTTATTTCGCACCTCGTAACGATTTTTTTTGTTTTTTTCGGCACTTTTCCAAATTTTTAGAGAATTTTTAGTCCACCATAGCACTCAATTGTTGCCACAAGAGTCATTAAATACCTTATGGGGTTTCTTTGCTTCTACAACAACAACATAAGACTCAATATTTACAAGTTAACTTAATTTTTAACTACCATTACTTTTTGATATCTAACTTACGAATATTTATTGTAAAAATGCAAAATGCAAATAGTATATACATACATACATGCAGATGCGGTATTGTTGAGCAAGTAGCAAATATCATTATACCTGACAGCGCAGCACCTACCTTGTGTTTTTAAAGGATCAGTTGTAGTACTTATTCCAGGAAACCTTTAAGAAAGTTTGCGAAGAGATTAACAACAAAACATGACTTTAAAAAGCAGCATTTTTCGTGTTTTTTTTTTTTTAAGTAAAATTTCTCTGTACTAAATTTCATATCATGTTATTGCGTTGTATTTGAGGGAAAACAAATAAAATGAAATTTTTAAGCATTTTTGAACAATTCGCTTTCGACTGGGCGCAAATGAAAACGCGAAATGATTATAAAAATTTGTGTATCTTTTTCTTTCGATTAGATGAGATGATTAATTTATGGTTAAGCCTTTGTGTTTTTTAGTTGCTTCATTTTTTGAATACACTCTTTTTTCTACAGTTTGTCGTTTTTGTTGCATTTTTGTTTTGACTGCTCTTTGCCGTCATGCTGGGTTAATCTCTTCAATTTTAGTTTACTTTTTAAAGATTTCATGAATGGCCACATTAAAAATTTTGACTCTAGATTTAAGTTGCTACAAACCGATTCAAAATTGTTTGCTTTACTTTTTTTTTGTTTTAATGATGCATTAGTAAGCTGCATTTTGCATTTGTACAATTTATTAACATTTATCATATTATTATTTTTTTTTGCTAAGTTCATTGTTTACAATTTGAGCGAGCGCTTTTTGTCAACACAAAGGCCAATTACAAATAATCATCCAACTAATCTGAATATGAGTATCTAAGTTTTTAATACTATTTTACTTAATTTTACACATTTCAAATGTTTCATTCATTTACTTTTACTCAGATACAACAAACAAGAGGCGTGTAAAAACAGTTATAAACGCAAATGTGCGACACAAATGCTGTCAATTAATTAATTTTTGCTTTGATAAATAACAAAACATTAATACTTTTTTTTTGTTTTTGTGCTTTAATATTTACAAAACTTTATTAATAGTATTAGTTTCTTTCCGTGGTTTTTTGTTTGCTTTAGACATTCTATAGTTCATATAGTTTAGTTTTTCACTTTATTTCTATTAATTACTAAGAAAACGAAAATATGTGAAAATTACAATTAAAACAATTTTCGGTATCATTAAGTCAATTTATTGCAAAAAGCGCTTTACATTACAAAACGATTTGATACTTTTAAGGCTTAAAATTAAAAATAATAATAATTAATAATAAATTTTAATGGTAATTAACAATTGAAATAATACGAGAAATAATATATTTATAATTTATGTGTGTTGAGCAATGTGTATTTTTTATTGTTTCTATATATTTTTTTTTTATAATTGTATTTAAAAATAAACACACATCTTAGACAAAACTATACAGTGCTTAGCCGATTAAAAACACATGTGCATTTATATCTTCTCCTATGTACTACGCTAAGTAGTTGTAATACTCTGTCGAACATAATTGAAAGGCTTTGCACTTAAATAAGTAATAAGTAGTAAAGCGCCTGAAATTTTGTATTTTTTTTTTGTTTAATTTTGCAGTTTTATTTATATACATTGTCTCTTTTTTTTAAAAGTCAGTATTACATATGCATATGTTTCGTTACCTTAATATAAAAAGGGGTGTGGTTCGAGTTACATAATAATTACCGCAAAATTGCAATCTTATTGCTTTCTTGATGCTCTGTTGCTGATGCTCTACTGAAAAGCTGCAGAAATTGCGCAGTAAAATTTTGTATATTGCATTTGACGTACTAGGGTTCGATTTGATTTGAACTGATTGTCAAAATTTTGTTCATCGATCGCGTGTTTTCACATAGAACGTGATGCTCTTTCATAAATAGTAATACTGCCGCATTAATTGTTGCTCGAATACACCCAAAGCCCTAAATTTCTTTCGAAATTCAGCTCTGCATTAAAGTCGTTAGATTACTTAATCGAATTTGAAATCAACTACTTATCAAAAAAACTAATTTCTTAAAAACCAGTGTAATGCAAAGAAATCGCAGCAGAAGATTTTTAGTTTTTATATAGATTTATAATTATTCATTGAAGAAACAAATATGTTAGATAGAGACCGGCCGTTTTATAGAAAGGTAACGATATACTAAATTCAGGCGGGCAGCAATTGAGCGATTTCTCGATTAAGGCGCTAATTGAGCTCAAAATGTCAACTTTTAATTTTTCGATTAGTACTTCATTCAATGTAAATCTGAGTCGAATTTCGCATGCAACTCTGTTAGGTTTGTTCGATTTCTATTTCACAAGCAAATGTAAGCTGTCTTGACCAAATTATTAGATATCAACCATGGCACATTGAATTGGTCTATGAATTGGTAGTTTTGTTTCCATTTTACTCTAAACTGTCAAATTTTGTTTACCTTTTTTGACAGTTTAGAGACAAAATCATCAACAAAATTAATTTTAGTTGTGCCGTCATTAATAGTTTGTGTTTTGGATTGTGTAAAATGTTAAAAAGCCGTTCGCACCAGGCGATTTGCGTTCAACTTTTAAGTTCAACTCACGCAGGGTGCACGAAAAAATGGCTAAAAATATCGAAATATAAAAAAAAAATCAAAATATTCGCCATAAAAAGGCGTTTGCATTGCTCGACTTTGCATTCTACTTTTGGTTGAACGGCCTTTCAACTAATAGCTTTCAACAAAGTTGGTCGCCAGCCAACATTTAGCCATTCAACTTTTTTTCGTGCAACCCTGCGTGACTTGAACGCAAAATCGCCTCGTGCGGACACCTTTTAAGTATATAAAAATTTAGGAGTGTATATTAACAAAAATTAAAAAAAAAATTAAAAATTGAAAACCTCGAAAGGCTTGCTGCACTGTCAAAATTTGTTAAGAGTTATATCTTCGAGGGTCAGGTTTTCCAGCTTATTACGGTTTATCGTTTGGTTTGTTGTTGCCTCTAAATGAGGAGATGAATTGAAAATGCTAGAGCAAAAAACAACAGCTGTAGTCAGGGATCGCAAATAACTACACTGTGCGACCCTTCAAAATACCGGGGAAGTGTTTTTATTACTAAAAAGTAATTTCTTTAACAAAACTCAATTATTACGATACCTATGTAGTTCGATACTAGTTATATTATACACAAATCATAGCAATGCAGCGTTTTCTTTTAATGAAAGTTACTTTGATTAAAAACAAAATCAGTTTTTAGGACCTGGCGTCAACCACTCATTATACAACACAATAGACAATGCATTTTCATCGGCTATATCATTCATATAAGCACTTCTCAATATTATATCAGCATTTTAGGCCAATCACCTTCAACTCTTATTGCTGCTTCATTTAAACTTTCACGTTGCACTTTTGGAATGTTAATTTCTCTAAGTTAAATCTTACATTCACTTTCGCCCGACTTTAAATAAAAATATTTTATATTGCTTAAGTGATTGAAATTAAGTGGAGTATATGGTAGAAATAATGTCAAACTATAAACTTGTATTATATGTATATTCTTACTTTTAAAAATGTTATGTATATTGATTTTTAATAACCAACATCTCAAAAATGCATTTACTGTACAGGGGAGTAACTGTGTATATGTAGCAAATTATATTACTTTGTAATAAATAATAAAACACTAATGCCTGCTTCTTCTGTGTATATACTATTAAATAATATATGCATATGTAGGATAGATATGCACGTAAATTGTAAAGTGAAAACTTTTGCACTTAAATTAAGTTTTTTATTCCTATTTCCTTTAAGATTTCTCTCTAGCTTTTTAATTTTTTTCTTCTCATAATTCAACAACTACTCACTTGTTGATGTGCTGATTGGTGTACTGGTGTTAATGGTGGCGGTTGCGAGTTCAAAACAGCGTTTGGTGGTTGGACAGCCAAATAGATTTTAGTTGGTCCGAGTACGCCCTGTTTGCCACTGGATTCTTGCGCTAAAAAGAAAAGATTGACAACAGTATTAGAGAGTAAAATAAAAAAGTTAAAAAATTTAACGTCGAAAAAATATTGGAATATTTTATGGGTCGATTACGGATGGCTATCGAACTTTCTTTGCGTTGGCAATGGCTGAAATTATATTACAGATGGCAACTGCCACCTGAAAGCTACCAACTGAGCTGCTATATTGGTAATTGCATTTTTGTAGTTGCCGCGGAAATTTTAAATGCAAAAATTCATTTCCTTTTTCAAATGTTTCCACGGCTTATTTAGATTATTTTTATGGAGAAGCATTTGAGATAATCACCATGCTCTCCTTACGAAACATCACTCACGACATCTAATTGATAAACAAATGTATATTCATCGCCGGTGCACTATGACCTAGTTTTCCTGCACCTTAGAATATTTTATAAATTTATTTATAAGATATTAAACAAATAAATAAATAAATAAAATTTACCCCTAGTAAATTACTTACAAACGCCTATAGCTACCTTTTAAAAGCTGCTGCTTCACTTGCTGTTGCACCAGTGCCAGCTGCTGTTGTGTAAAATCATTGCCAACCAAGCCTTGGAGCACAATACGTGGCCCTTGTTCAGTTTGTATGACTTGCGCTGTGACACACTTGATCACCGTACCTGGCGGCTGACCCTGTAGTAGACTCTCCTCAATTGTCATAGCCTTGGTTGGTGTAGCCGTCGTCTGCGGCTGCGGCTGCTGTTGCTGTACACTATCTTGATTTATATATTGCGGCTGCTGTTGTGTTATTTGCTGTTGTGCAATAGTTGTACGTTGTATGATTTGCTGCTGCGGTTGCACTTTTGGCTGTACCTGCTGCAGTTGCTGTTGCTGCACAACGGCAGGAGCAGCTTTTTCCGGCGATGATTGCGGCGTTTCCAAAGTACTATTCGTAATTATATGAGCATTGCCATCGCTTTGCGTCTTAATATGTGCCACAATTTGTGCTTGATTATTGCCTAGCGGTCGTATAATGACTTGTTGTCCGTTTATGGTGGCTACCTGTAGTTTACCTTGTGCCAACTGTTGAGCAAGTGTAGAGTTTTGCACCACCAGCTGTTGATTTGTGGTTTGTGGCGTAACAGTAGCTTGCTGTTGCTGTGGCTGCTGTTGTACCTTTAGCACTTGCTGTGGCGCTGTACTTTGCTCAACGATATGATTATTTGTTGCTTGTATGGTCTGATGTTGCTGCTGTTGTTGTTGTTGTTGGACTACAATTTGTTTGACAACGCGCGTTTGTGGCTGCTGTACCTGCGTCAGAGTAGGTTGTTGATTTGCCGCCTGGACTATAACTTGTTGGTGTTGCGCCGGCTGTGCGGGGGCGGATTGTATGATCTGTTGTTGCTGTTGTTGCACAACTTGTACGGTTTGATTTTGCGGCACCGATCTTTGTGTGACAATTGTTTGACCTGGACTCAATATAATACGCTGGCCACCAATCACAATTTGTTGCTGTACATTACTGGTATTCACAATTTGTTGTATAACCTTTTGTGTGGCAGCTTGTGGAGGTGTAGTGTTGGTCGGATTGGTTGTTGTAGTTGGCGATTGGTTGACTATAATCTGTTGTTGCTGTTGCGGTTGTGCCTGCTGTATGCTTTGCAAGTTGGATACCACAGACTGCTGAGTCAATTGTTGTCCACCGGTGGTTATTAGAACTTTTTGTCCTTGTTGGTTTTGACCCATTAACAACTTCTGTCCAGGTTGGACAATAAATTGTGGAATACCTTGCGAGTTTGTAGTTATTTTCGTAGTAGTTGGCGTGCCAGTATTTATTGTATTGCCCGAAGGTATGGTTTGTGTAATAACCTTTTGAACAGTAGGTGATGGAGTAACGGCAACATGTTGGTTTATAACTTGTGCAACCGCCTTAGGAGTAGCAGGCTTAGGCTGGGGATTTACAGATGTGACAACGGTCTGAGAGGAATGATTGTAGAGGATAGAAAACAAAATTGTAAATTTTGATAAGAATCTGATTAAAACATTTTTTTAATAATGCGTTGCTCTATGCAAATAAAGAAGCATACATTTTTTTACTTAAAATTTTTCTTTTATATAAAGCAAAAAATCTGGTATTGCGCTACATACCTTTGGGGTACTTTGTACTGGCACCGTCTTCTGTATTGGCTTGACCGTTATTTGCTTGACGACGGTAGGGGAGTTCGTGGGCGTGGCTTGTTTCACTGGTAATTTCTTTGCGACAACACCTGCAATGAAAAGTTAAAAATAAATATATCAACAAATTATTTATTTATTTATATTACTTCAAATTCATGCTTTATGGTTTTTTCATCAAATTAATATCAACACAATAATATGTATTTACAAATTCTATTCAACTTTATATGTAACCAACCTTGCGTGCTGCCTGTTGATGCTGCTGCTGTTGTGGTTGTTGTCAGCACATGCAGTTTGCCATCGGGCATTTGTATCAATTGCTGACCGGGATTTAATCCTCGTACACTTACTTTACCATCTGGGCCACGTATGATTTGCACTTTATGCTGTTGCGGAGTAGGGGTTTGCTGCTGCTGCGTTTGTGCAGCGCTGCCTGTTGCATTTTCAGTGCTTGACGCAGTTTTAGCTTGTGTAACGGTATTAGTTGTCTTTTGTGCGCCAACAGCAGGGGATGTGATGGCCTGTTGTATGATGCGAGTGGTGCCATCGGGATTCTTGACAATAACACGCCGACTACCAATTACTTGACCTTTTACTGAAATTTAAGTTGAAAAACATTGTAACTACTTGTAGATATATATATATATTTTTTTTTTGCAAACACTGTACCTTGCGTCTGCACTTTAGTATTATCTGGGTTCTTCTTCTGTTGATGCGCAGCACGTTGCAATTTCAATTGGTGCTCCATTTTCTCTTTTACCTCCTCACTACTCTTTGCTGTTATTACAACTTTAGTTATAGATCCATTCGAACCCGAACTGGATGCTGAAGAGGACGATGGCGAAGCATTAGCTTGTTCTGCAGCTTGACGCAAGGCAACTGAACGTGTCATGGCTGCCTGGCGGCTCTTTTCCTGACGCTCACCCATTAGTTTAATCTCCCATAATTCTAATTTATCTTCTTCTACCCATTCTTCAGTTACTTGCGGTTCAGTTGGTTGTGGCGATTCGGCTCGTTTGCGTTTTCGAAGACCAGAACGAATGGATGTGACTTCTGTTTTTGGAAATATATATAAAAAAAAAAATAAAAATCTTAGTAAAATCATCACTAATAAGGACTTTTTATGTTTTCGAAGTGTTTGAAGTTTAACTAATTGAGAGAGGTCACATTAGCTCAAACCAATTCACTGTAAGACTCGAATAACCACAAATAATGCAATATTTTAAATCTTATTTCTTTAAACAAAAATACAGTTATGAATTTGTAGTTTTATTTTAAGAATTTATTAACTACTTTCCTTGTTAATTAACGACTATTTAAACACAAGTATGTATGTATAAATTTATTATCTAGTTTTTACTTGTTATTTTTCCAGTATTTTTATTTAATTTTAATTTCTTTATTTTTTTAATCTGTTTTATTTTGTTATTTTTTGTTCTATTTATTTTATATAGAAAGATTGTTTGAAAAAACATTTTTTTACTATTAACCTACTTAAGGTTTTTAATTTCTTTGATTTTATTTAATCTTTAATTATTCGATTGATTTTTTATGTATAATTTTTTGTTTCCAGTTTATTTATTATTATTATTTCCAATATATTTATTCATTTTTACCGTTTTCGTTTATTAATTTGCTTCATTTCAATATAGCGCTGCGGTTGTGCCGTTTAGAACACTCCGCAGGAGTTTTCGGGGATGCACAAAGCGAAATTGTTGAGCACCGGTTATGTATTTATGTATGTTCGAAAAATTCGATAGGCGATGTGACCGATGGGAACTCTTGTTTCACATCTGTATGTTGAAAGCCATACAGAGCCCCATGAGACAACTCCGGAGCAGTTGTGATGCATCAAGCGGGAGTGTTGGCAGTTGAGAAGTGCTTGTGCATAAACAAATTTCTGATATGAAATGTTTACACATACAGCTTTGCACATGCTTGTATATATTTTAAGTGAAACTTTTTTCAAGTTAAATGAAACCATTTTCAAACAAAGTGAAATCTTTTTGAAATTAAATGAAATCTTTTTCCGGTCAAGCGAAACCATTTTCAAATTAAATGAAACCCTTTTCAGATAAAGCGAAATTTTTTTCAAATTAAATGAAACCTTTTTCAGATTCAATGAAACTTTATTCAAATTAAATGAAACTTCCTTTTAAGAATGTTACATTTCATTTGAAAAGTTTAATTTAATTTGAATAAAGTTTCATTGAATCTGAAAAAGGTTTCATTTAATTTGAAAAAGGTTTCGCTTTATCTAAAAAAGGTTTCATTTAATTTGAAAATGGTTTCATTAGAACTGAAAATGCACAATTTTATTTATATCTGCCTCATTTTTATGATTTATTATTTTGCATTGAAGTTTTACTTGGTGTGATTTGTTCATGTAATTTTTAATTTTAAGGTTTTTTCAGCATTTCAGAAAAAAAAAAAATCCAATGAGTCTAAACTCCCTCCAAGGAGATGTGCAAAATTACTTACATATATATACAGTGGTGACCACTTAACTAGGGATACGGTTTCTTTACAACTTTTGGCCATGTGTATATTGTTGTTGGTTCTGTGATCTAAGATGTCCAAAAATTTTATACTTTTTAAATACGTATGAGGCCATGAGGGCCAAAGGAGCCTATCTTAAAATTTTTCTTAGTAATATGAGAAAGGATCTATAAAAAATTATAGCGGTCTTTACCTAAACAGTTCATTGCGCCTACGTGATGCTTCTGACAAATGAATACTAAAAGGACGTGCCTGGGGGTATTACCCTTCCGATTGTAGTAATGTATTTTGAGGTGCACCTCAACTGTTGAAATGTCAGTTAGGATACTCTGGCCCTCATGGCCTCTTACCATAGTGGGCGACGTGAAATATAAAAAAAAAAATAAAAAAAAAAATAAATGGAATAAAAATTAAATAAAAATAAAATTAAAAATTGGTGCGAATTTTGTTCTTTGTAAATTTGTATCATTCCAATAATCAGCGTTTACGCTCCTGAGTTAAGCAAATCTTCCAAAGGCTGGGTTTAAAACGCTTATTTGAAGATACATTTTGGCAATTAAAACATTTGTATAAAAAATTAACAATATTTGACAGTTTAAAGACCACATATTTTGAAAAAAAAACAAACAAATAAAAATTCAAACATTTGCTCTACTGCTACAACCTGGGGCCAATTCTACAATGTTTACAATTGTAACAAGTATACCACGTCGCCTGGGTAAAAGATTGTCGTAAGCGCCATTTTGACGATTTTTAGTTCTACATGCTGTTATATATTTTAAAACAAGTTCTTTTGATTGGTGTTATGAGTTTTTAGATATCTCCTTAAGTTTCCAAGATATTGAGAAAATCTATCTTCGCGTTTTTGAGAAATTGTAATCCAAACTTCAATCGCGATTTCCCACAACCTACCGAAATAAACATACGACAATCTTTTATCCAGGCGACGACAAGTTATTAGTGATTCGCTTGTAGCTACAAGTTCTAAAGTTTTTTATAACACAATGGCTGCGTTTCTTTAATCCGGATAATCCCATTTCACAGGCGGAATAAACAGAATGCGTTTGAAATATACGTCAACATATCATCAGGAACGTTCTAAAGAATAAATAAACAAAAAAGTTAATTCCAAACGTTCAGAATAAATAAAGAAATGCAGCCAATATTATTTTACTATCCGACTCACTATCGAGTGTTCTGAAAATCGACTAACCGAAATTATTCGAATAGTGACAGTTTTTCACCATAAAATTATTGTTATTAGCGCGGTTGGATTTTTTTCAATAATCAAAAGTATTGGAAAAATACAAATAAATGTTTACTCAAAGAAAACTAGTCGAAAAATCAGAAATTAATGGTTAGTCTATTAACAAGTAGGGGCACGATATCGAGCCGAAAGTATCGATATAGTACTCATTTAAAGTATCGCTGTAAATACATCGGGTACCCATTATTATCGGGATAAAAATAATCGATAGTCCGAATATCGATACAAAACTCAAAATATTAAATCTGAATATTGGACACTCTAAAGCCCAAAATATATCAATATTGTTCTACATATCAATTCCAAAGTATAGACATATGGGCGTTTCCAGCGGTAGGCCATAGTACGACATAAATTTGCAATAATGGGAACCGATAGAGTGCGCTGCAGTCAAAATAAAAAATATATTAGACATAAAAATTAGTTTAAAAAACCATATTAACAAAACAAGTTTTAATGGAGATTATAGTAGCGTAATGGCATTCAACGTGACATCAGATACTTCGGTTGTTTAAAAAAACAGGAAAAATTTTTACATTTTGGAACTTGGAAAATCAGCCTTAAATATTTCAAATATTACTATAAATAGTGTTGACCAATTCCCAGAGTTTTAAAATCTTGACGTTTTCCATTAACATTTTGTCACGCCACGCCATATTGGAAATGCCCTTATGTACTTTTCCTCGAAAAGAATTTAATAAAAGACAATTATCTTTAATATTAAGTACAATATATTAAAAATTACAATAACTTTGTAATGCACCTTTGCGCTTCGATACGATACAAGGATTCTGGTATTCGATTCCAAAAAAATAGTTTGAAAACTATCGAGTAAAAGGTATCGAATGGCAAAAATATCGATATGGATCATATCGGTTGTGTTTTCATATTCTCCAGCAAAAAATATCCAGTAGCTTGCCAGTAACCGAATTTCGGAGAGTAAGCCAATATTTACTCCCAATGAGAGAAATATGCAAGAAAGTACGAAAATGCAAAACCAGCAAGAAGGTGCAAGTTTTATGAACAGTTGATTAATCTGTTATTTTCCGACGCAAATTTCTAAGAAAAATAGTATTTCCCATCTTAATATATATTTAAATAGGTTTATGTATTTTGTCAATTGCAACTCTAAATCCACCACCCACAATTCTTTCGGTAATTCGAATTACATTAAGCATCATGCCATCTTCTTACTAGCAAATAGTTACTGTTGGAGTGCAATGGGGTATAGTCGTTGCGCTGGGTATGCAGTTACAGTTGCACGGTTGCGTCCTCGTTCGCGCACTCTGGGCAACGCGAGCAGCACATGTGCGAGATGCGGTAACCAATCCGAGTGGAGCCTTGGGTCACGGCAGAAAGAGAGGGAGCTTCGGTGGGGCCACTCCGACTTATTCGGTTTAAGGGCTCATTGAAGTCTGCAGCGTCTGTTCACCAGTAGGTGCGGCTGCAAGCGGGTGTCTGCTTAGAGCAAGCGACTCGCTATATAAACGTGTATTTGGTTGCGAAACCACCCCCGTCCCAGCAATGGGTTGTGCGCTGGGCTTGCGACCCGCCACGTAAAAACCACTTCCAGTGAAGAAGCAAGGTAAAGCCTCGGATGAGACCCCCCTTATGATGACGACCACGCCAAACGTTTAAAGGACTACGATTTGAAGGCATGCACCTGGAATGTCCGGACCCTTAATGGAGAAAGTGCCTCTGCCCGGCTGGTTGATGTCCTCGTAAGGACAAAAGCTGACATCACCGCCATCCAAGAAATGCGTTGGACGGGGCAAGGCAAGCAATGTCTGGGGCCTTGCGACGTCTAATACAGTTGCCACGTAAAGGAGCGAAAATTCGGTGTTGTATTTGTGGGAGAGAGACTCCGTCGCCGAGTACTGTCGTTCACCCCTTTGGACGAGCGTCTAGCCACAATCCACATCAAAGCGAGATTCTTCAACATCTCGCTCATCTGCGCCCATTCCCCGACGGAAGAGAAGGATGAGGCATCCAAGGATCTCTTCTATGAGCGCTTGGAGCGCACATACGAGCGCTGCCCCCTCATGATATCAAAATCGTGCCTGGCGACTTCAATGTCAGGGTGGGCAAGGAAGGGATCTTTGGAACCAAAGTCGGAAAATTCAGCCTCCACGACGAAACGTCCGGGCCCGAAACATGGCAGTATGCAGTACTAGGTTCAAGCATAAAAAGATACATCAAGCTACGTGGCTGTCTCCGGATCGAAAAACGAGAAACCAAATCGATCATGTTGTGATAGACGGAAGGTACGCTTCCAGTGTTTTAGACGTACGCACACTCCGAGGCCCAAACATCGACTCGGACCACTATCGTGTTGCAGCCAAGATACGCACCCGCCTCAGTGCAGCAAAAAATATGCGCCCAAATATGCAAGGAAAGCTAAACGTCGAAAAGCTGCAATCACAACAGACAGCCAGCGCTTTCGCTACTCGATTCTCACACCTGCTCTCAGAGAGCACTCTTCAGCAAACCGACATATGCGAGCAGTGGAACCACATTTCCCGCTCATTAAGTACCGCCGCCGAAGAAGTAGTCGGATTTCAGCGGGCCCGAAAGAACAACTGGTACGATGAGGAGTGTCAGGAAGCTGCAGAGAAAAAAGATGCCGCCTACAGGGCCACGCTGCGATCGGGCGCGACGTATTTGCCGCAATAAGAGAGGCCGAAATACGTAAGTGCGAAGAGCTTGAAATGCTGGCCGAAAGGAAGAATGCCGGAAAATTTTACCAGAGAATTAGGCGACTTACGGAAGGTTTAAAGACCGGGGCGTACTCCTGTAAGAACAATAATGCCGACCTAGTAACTGATGTCCAAAGCGTACTTAAATTATGGAGGGAACAGTCTTCCGCCCTACTAAATGGTAGCAGCACGGAAAGTTGTGGAGAAGAACCCGAGCCCGCAGTCGATGATGACGGAGTAGGGACACGAATTTCGATACGATACGATACCAGAACCCTAGTATCGTATCGAATGTCTAAAACTCAATTTAATAAGATAATCACCCTCATTGCGAGAGTCGTGTAGAATGCGAATCACGTCATTGCCTAAAATTTACACTCGACTAGTGTATTAAAACGTAAAAACTTGGCAGCACTGTATAGTTTCCGACGCTTTTCGTCGTTTACTTATTTCGGCACGACAGTAGACAATGCCAATATTGTCGAGTCGTACAATTTAGCCTAATTTACGACTTATGCAATGAGGCTGCATGTCTCGCGTTACTAATTTCTACTAGCTTAGTGTTTCATTATTCTCTATTTCGCTATTTCTGGGCGTAATATTAAATTTTTCTTCGATCTTCAAAAAGTAGATGAACACAACTACGATTTTTTTACAAATGGCGGCCGCCGCCTTTTTTTCTCCTCCATCTCCTCTATTCGTTGCGAAAGTGACGTCATCAACCGCAGGAATGGGTAATCTTGTATACTATCATTATTGAGGCCTATCGTCTCCCTACTAGCATGAGCTCTATTACGATCATTTGCCTTCAACGGACGTATACCACTTGCGGCGAAAAATAAAACATATATTATTAATTAAATATGGCTGCAAAACCAATAATGTGGAAAAAGTTGCATTATTTCATAGCATCGAGTTGTTTTATTCGCGATTACTGGGCCTATTCTCGATTCAGTCTGAACCTTTCCACAAATTCTGCGTCTCTCAGGAAGAAAGTGTTCATTCTCTCTCGATACCGATACACTATAGGAATGTTTTCGTTTTCACTTTCGGAATCACTTGACCACATATCAACAGCAAAATGGTATGCTAACGGCACAAATACTACACTAAACTGAATCTACTCAGCGTTCGAGATAGGTAGAAAATTGTTCATAATTGTAGAAAAGTCGTAACACAACTGTTCAAGTGTGTTCGTTGTGTTACGGAAACAGACTACAATTGTACAAAAAGTTTAGTAATTACAAGTTGCTTTGTGTTATAAAATATTATTTATAAAATTTCTACAAATTTTAACAAAAATGGTTATCAAGTTTTAATCAGAATCTCTATGCAGTTTTATAGCCCTTTCAGTAGTTTAATCTCGTGTAACTTTGAGATTTTTTTTTTCACGGTGTTGCTCATTTCATACCATATAAAAAATTATCGAAACTGCTTCATATGGAAATTGAAGGGTCTATAAAACTGCATAACCTCATTTTTTCCTGGATTTTTTTTTTATTAAAAAGTTGGAAATACAATGGATACTGTTCTACTGCGGTATTTAAACTGTTTGTATATGCCAGAGTTGTGAAACATTGCACCCATATTCATTGCATATTTCGAATATTTAATAAAACAATCACCATTTCGGAATTTTGCATTTTAAAATACAAATTGTAACCAAAACCAAACGAAGCATGAATTTTGTTTTTGATGCTCTGATTACTCTAGCTATACGTTTCGATAACTTTTCGGATGCGTTTTGGAAAAGTATGGCTGACTTCCTAAATGACAATTGCATTGCATACGTACAAAGTTAAATATTCCATAACGCCGAACTACAATTGGTTGACAATATCGCTTACATCTTTTCGGCGGTTATGGTTTTCGGTATGAACTATATTTTTGTAAAAGATTGTCAAAACTTGAAAACAAGCCGTGTCATTAATTATATGCCCCCTCCACTGTATGTATTGCATAACCATTCAAACAAAAAAAAATCCTAATAAATGCAGTTGCAAATGATTTGAACACATAAAGCNGTCATTAATTATATGCCCCCTCCACTGTATGTATTGCATAACCATTCAAACAAAAAAAAATCCTAATAAATGCAGTTGCAAATGATTTGAACACATAAAGATCTTCAAACTTACCTCGTATGGTTTTGGGCACCTCCAGTGGCACAACGACTTTGCGTCGCAAATACTGCGTCCGTTCGCCGTAACGTCCCAAATGACGCAGCTTTAATAACTCCTGCGTAACAATCTCCGTGTCACTAGTCACTTGATGTTTACCATCTGCTGATGGGGGTTTGGCTATCATATCATCCCAGCGTAAACAACACCAGAGTATGCGCAACTGTAAGGCGATAGCAGCCAGCGTCGTTGCTTTGCTGGTACGAAATGACCAGCAAGTTTTGAAAAGCGGACGCGAACATGGATATGGCCAAACAGAATTGTTCTTGGCCAAATGATGAAAGCCATTAGTGGACACCTTGCCACCCAAACGCGCCAATTTCTTTACCTCGTACGGCGCCAACACCAGTAAGCTCATATTCAGCTTGTGTGTTAGGAATTGCGATGTGAGGGGATATGTTGAACCGATGGGTGTGTTCTTTGATTGCTCGTGCGTTTTCCCCTCCTCCACCTTGGGTTGAGTGTGATCTTGTTGTAATTGGGCCGCTTCACGCCACAGGTAGATGCGACCACGTGGTGATTCCGCTGCATACAAACGCTCCTTGCCATTCGCGTAGTATTCTTTTTCATATTTTGTAACATCTTCGCGTTTTGTGACGCGCGGCTGTGTGGGAAATCTTCGATTTTGTTTGATATTCGATGCTGTCGTTTGTTTTTCATAGGTTTGATTGAGCACATCCTTGGTGCCGATGTACGACTTGCTGTTGCGCGCCTTTTGCGACTTCTTGCATTTTCTAGCGAGTGAAGCGTCCATGCCCAACGAAGCATCGTTGCCGGCCGTAAGCGCAGCCAGCGAGTCGTCGTTGGTTGTCTCAGAGCTCTCGATCTCCACATTGCTGCATACATCGATGCTATCAATGAATTCCATGCGCTCATCTGTAGTACCAGCACCATCGCTGGTGCCCTGGTTTTCCTCCTTTACTACATTACCGGCGACGGTCGCAGAGTTTTCTTCTTGCTTCGATATGTAACAATCACGCCAGAGCTTTTTATCGTATGGCACTGCTACAGTGCGTGCATGTTCCCAATCTTGCACCAAATCCAATGGGCTTTCATCGATCAACCAGCGACAATCCTCGGCCTCATCCAACATGAGTGATGCATCCTTTTTACCCTCAGTAAGTTTTTGCTCCAGTATCGACGGCTTTTTCACAGCGCCCAATATTGCAGCTACTGTTTCCTTGGAGCCTTTGCCAGCAATGTGTGCTTTGCGCAACAAAAGCAACAACTCTTTCTTAGCGCGTGCTTTCTGGAGGCATAGTGGTGAATAGCAAGTGTTTTGGGTTATTTGTGAAACTGCATTGGAATTGGTGTTGCACTCTTTTGTGTAGCAACGATATTGCTTGGCGAATCTATTCAACTGACTGAATTGCAGGCGAACTGTTTGAATTTTCTTTGCTAACGAATTAATCAAGTCCAGATTAACATCGTTACTAGGTGCGTTCTTCTGCTGTACATATTGTATATCCATTAGACGACGCTCTAGGAATGTTCGTTTGGCCGCCTTCCTATTTGGTTCCGCCTTTGTATCATCCGCCTCTGTGGCGGTAATTGTCGGTGAATCATCCGCATCCTTCTCAGTTTTAACTGCCAATTCTTCCTCGGCTTGCTTCAATTCCAATCGTCGTGCAAGTAAGTCGTCGAGTCGGCTTTTACGCGCAATTTTCGGGTACATTAGTCGGCCGGGCATAGCTAACGACTTGGAAACATCAATTGTACCAATATTATTTGCTGCGCCAGCGTCGCCATCAGCTGCATCATCGCTATCGAAGTCTAGTATTTGCACATCCCTAAACTTTTGTAAGTAATAATAATCGGCGCCTTGCTTAACTGCCGCGCTGCATTGCAGTAGGAATTTGTGTGTGCGTGGATCTACGCTAACTATTTCATCCACATCGCTGCCTTTTGTGAAGTGCACATTCACCTTCACGGGCGGTATAGCCAGCCCGTGCCGATATGAGGCACGTCGTCTGCTGCCACCGCCGACGCCGCAACGACGACTAGTCGATAGCCACATCCAACCCCATTGACCGTGTATACGGTATTCTTCGCCTTTCTGTTTCCATACCTGATGCTTTAGTCCTAAGGAGTATTTTATATAGTTGAAAGCGAGACGATTCCGTTCCTCCTCATCGTCACGTTCGCGTTTTTCACGCTTCTCCATTTTCTTGCGTTCTTCACGCTCTGACGAAGTTATGCGGCACAAAGTCAGATGGCCTAGTTGTTCATGCCAAACATTGGCAAAGATCACATTTTTAAGTGATGCTTGGAGTAGTAGTAATACTACGACGAATTCTGTTGGACGACGCGCATCACCTACTGTCCTGCGCCATTTCCATTTGAGGAGGCGCCAATTCGGTATCATAAACGACGAAGGTACGCTTTCTTCAAAGTTGAGTAGTGTCTGTCGCAAAGTTTGAGTGATACTATCCAAACTGCCCATCGTAACACCGATCCATTTAAATTCTGAGGCTGTGGTGAGTGAAAATTTATGTGACAAGTGACGACGCTTATCGCGCTCTTCGTTGCGCTGCGGTTTATTCAAAGCAATCTGATTTGATGTGTATTGATTTACGTAGTTCTTAAAACCATGCTCCATACCTAGTTTGAAGTGCGTGAGATCGTTTGCATTTTGACTGGTTTTCAGACGTGTCATCATCTTATTTTCTGTGCCGCTTTCATTCATTTGTGCATCTGCCTCCTCAGTACCACGGAGCAAAGCCCATGTCTTCTTGTTTTCCTCGTCAATATATGATAGCCTTTGGTACTTGTTTTGTTCCTTCGTAATAGACTCTGTCAATTTCATTTGACGTATAATCTCATCTTTCCGTTCTGTCAATTGATTATACAGCCCAGATTCCAAGTCGTCTTTGTCTAAAAGGTTTAGTAACTGCTCTAATTTTGATTCTGTACTGTAGTACCAAATTTTGCCATTATCATATTCAGGCTGGCCTTCGACAAATATTCTACGTGCAATGAACCAAAATTTACGTCCGTGCCTATCCAAGCCTAATATTTCGTGCCTTATAAGCACACCTTGCTTCTCCTGTGGCAACACACAGTCAACAACTCCGCTAACCTTATGTGACTTACACAAATTGCATTGCCAATCCTCGGTTGGCACATCATTCAGCGGTGGATCTACGCACTCCAAATGATACACGGCTGGACATGTTTCGCAACATAACAAATCACCTAATCTATGGCAAATACGGCAATGATCATCGTAGTGTATTGGCCCCTCTTGTAACATTACATCACGAACAGCATTCGTTGTTAAAAATTGATTGGTCAAAAATTGTAAAACTATTATGCGATCGGTTACCCCTGTAAATGGGTAATCACCAGCACATAATATATTATATACTTCACGACTGAAAATTGTATCACTTTCTACATAGCTGCGTAGTACTTCGGGCCAGGTAATGCCATCAATCAGATATAGACTAATATTGACTGTATCTTTCTGATCGAGCGGTCCAAAGTGTGTCCCTTGCACATCTTCTTCACGCAAAATAGCTTTCAATAACATAATGTGTACTTCAGCAATAAGTGCGCTTTGTTCATCACTAGCCAAAGCGGCACAAAAGTCTTCAAAACGGAATGGTGACAAGCGTACCAGATGACGAAATCTTCTTAAAACTTCATAAATACTCAAAGACTTAAGTAACAATTCATTTTTCATTAATAAATCTTCCGAAGAGTCTGGCATTTCTAGAGGATCGTATTCACGATCTTGTAACCAAATTGGATCAGGACTTGGTGGTCGCGGTGGACGACCAAGACCATTTTGTGTAAAACTGCATACAGAGAATTCAGATTCACTCTCATTTGCCGCATCCAGACTCTCCTCTTCATCTGTTGCAGAGCAAAGTAATTCGTCATCTATATCACTCTTTTCACTCGAATCTCCAAAATCTGAGCCATAATGGTACTCGGATTCATATCCTGTAAAGAAAAAAGGTAACATTATTTACAATTCCTACTGTATTGATAACCTTGAATATGGAAACAAAACCAAGTATTATTATCTATAAGAATATCTTTTGGCTTTAGCCCGTAATCATAAATAAGTTAGAAAAACATACGTTTAGGAGAATTTTTATTCCTGATACCGATTCGGAATAATTTCATTTTTTTTAATTAATCTCAACGGTTTTATTGAAAGTTTTGAATATTTTATTACATCATTTATATATATCAGGAATATAATCGGTCGAAGGACCGATGTTTTAAAAATAACTGCGCTCCATCAAAAATGTTGATAAAAATTTGTTGTAAAGTTTTAACACTTTGATTAATATGGTTTTCGTTAAAGCATGGACAATATTTTCATTAAAAAATAAAAATAAAAAACATTGTGAATATGAAAAAAAATCAACACGTGAACACTTGTTTGCGTTACTTACTGTACATACAGCGGCGTTCAAAATAATAGCAGCAAATCTCAAAATGATGTTGTTGGCAACTTATCTTTATTTATTTATTGTAAATAATTTTCATTTTAAATATGGGTCGACCTACATACATATATCAGATACCACACAAATAAAAGTTTCAAAGCTTGCACAAAGTTTACAAAAACTAATCAAACTTAAAAAAAAAAAATGTATAAAAGTTTCGATTTTTAGTTTTATAGCCCATCAAATTTTAGTATAATAAAGTGCAAGTGCAAGTATATAAAGTGCAAGTTTAAAGTCGCCAAAAATTACCACTGATTTTTCATTTATTTTTTTTTTTGTCGAGGATGTTGCGCATTTGCTTCCATATAACGCATGAACAAAACTTACTTTTATATGGAAGAAAATGCGCAAAACCCTCAACAAAAAAAAATTCTAAAAATATTAACTGTAATTTTTAGAAACTTGAAAGTTGAACTTTATATTTTAGTATAATAATTGAATAGTTTATAAAACTGCATAGCCGAAATCTCTCTAAGAAATCTAATTTAAAAAAGTTTGATGAACATCTTTTAAGTTTAAATAGTTTTTGTAAACTTCAAAACTTTTATTTATGTGGTATCTGATATAGATCCGACCCACATTTTAAGTGAAAATTATTAACAATAAATAAATAAAGATAAGTTCCCAACAGTATCATTTTGAATTTTGCTGCTATTATTTTGACCGCCAATGTACCAATAAAATTCTTGAAGAATGTCTAAACCACAGTATACAGTAATCCAGATAGCCAAAACAAAAAATGTAAATATGCTTATTTGACATTTTGTTTGAATGTATTGGTTGATATTTTTTCACAGTTGTCGTTTTCGTTAACCCAAATGAAATCCAATTTAAATATTTTCTTATAGGGAAAAATATTTTCAAGTTACATAAAATAAAATAACGAGAAAAACCAAATTCCAAGCAAATCAAGCGGGAAGCGTAAGCGATTATGACCGGATGCAGTTCCTACATAAGTCAAACCGTGTTCCGAACACAACTTTGAGTGAATAATGGTGGGCTGACTTTGTAAAATGGTCCCATCGATTAGGCGGTAAAACAAGCATTACTTAGCTTATTTTGGAATGTACAAAATTTGTATGTATTTCTTCAACCGCTTATTCACATTTGAAAGAGGATAATGCATGAATTGATGCAAGTAAAGACGGTTTATGCAGATAAGCAAGCGCGTTTGTTAACCGTATAAAATCTATGTACATATATACACATATGCATACATATATATCAAAATATTCAGAATGACGAGATGAATTGGTCCAGGCCTCTCTGTTTGTAAACACGCTAACTTGAACAAAATTTCGATATTTTAACGAAAGTCGGTGTCGAAGTTGCCTTTGGTATAATTTAGGTTAGTGTTAAATTTTGGCGAAATCTGCCAATAACCACGAACACCTCCCACGTAGTAATTAAAATATTTTTGTTTTATTATTTTTTTACGAATTTTGCTGTTCAAATTTACATTTCAACAAACATTTGTGGGTACTCTTACATCAGTCGTTGCCTATGGGTTAATGACAAAAAAATCCTATACATTCACAATATTTCATGTATTAATTTTCAAATAAGCATATTGTCAATGGCTGGTTTACTGTATACTGTGGTCTAAACAATTGTATTATAACATAATATTTGCGTTTATACATTTTTACAGTAAAATTTCCCCATAAATATGAATCAGTTAACAATGCAATATGGTTTCTTTTTTTAGTTATCGCAGTGTTTTTCATACTTCTAAATTTTGGTTAATTTTTTAATAAAATATGGCTTATATTTTAAACAACATCCTGGTATGAAACTGTGTACGGAATTGAAAAATCTGCAACATTTCATCAACATTGCAAACTTTTTAATAAGAATTAAAAAAATCAAGTATGCAGTTTTATATTTATAGCCCATTTAATTTTAGTATATGAAATTTCTTAGTTTTCCCAGGCATTTGGGGTCCGATTAATCTGAATTTGCAATTTAGTTCTACCAAAAACGGCCGCTGAGTACGCTTTGGTGCAATAGAAAATGAAGTAACATTGTTTAGCAACAATGTTGAGAAACATTGTTTGCACATCGCACCCTGCGGCCGTTTTCGGTAAAAATAAAACTGCAAATTGAGATTTCTCGGACCCAACACCCACAGAGGAGACTTTAATCGTATAAATATTTTAATTTACATTTAAATCAATTTCAGCTGCTCTGCGACCACCAACATCAAATTGAAACAAAAAAAATACGCATAAGATCGCCAACCGGGCAAAACTTAAAAATCATTTTTTATATACAATCCAGACTTTCAGATAATCTTGGTTTCATCGATTCCCCAGAAAAAGAATGAACGTAAATTTGAAATGTCTAAAAATTCGATATGATTTTCGATATTTTTTTCCTCACGGCGTTATGTACTTTTTCCATATAAATAATTTTTTTTTTTTGTGAAGGATGTTGCGGATTTTTTTCATATAAAAAAGTTTTGATCATAAGCATGTGCTGCCTTCTTAAGCTTAATCTTATTTATTAGTCGTCTAATAAACTATAAGGGGTATTTGTTGTGCTTCTTATTAAAAATCGGAACAAAACGAGCGATACCATCAAAAACTATTTCATAAAACATTTCATCGAGTGTATTTAGCTTATAAAGGTTGATCCAATTGGTGTTCCAAGAAGAGTCGATTGAGTGCGATATAGTCAGCTTTTTTAAAGCAGTATACAAGGGGAGAGTTTACCTTCAAACTGGAGCTAAAGTGGATATTAACATTTAAGCCGGAGTGGTATAGATCTTCGGTAACAACAGGAATCGTTTATCAACCACAGCTTCGATATTACTGAAACATAGGTCCAAAAGTTGACCATATGCATTTGGTATATTGTTAAGTTGTCAATGTTGCTATATGAGCCTGGCATACATCACTTGAAGAACGGGGTGGGATGCATACACTACCGACAATAATACTAGTTTTTGAGCCCTTGATTTTCACAAAGATTTGCTCCGGATGATTGTTTTCAATTTATTTATTTATTTATTTACTAGCTTATACCCGCGGGTTTCACCCCACGATTTTATACAAATTCCGAAAATAATTTAATGATGTTATATTTTATTTCTGTGCCCATTTTGTTATAGCTCGTTATTTTTTAAGCGAGTTAAGGTATTTAGGCTATGAAATTCTGTGCGCTAGGCATACGAAAGATATCAATCCCTCTAAGTTTATCTTAGAATGGTTCCAGGGATACGCCGCGTGAACGTGTAATCTTCTTGGAGGTGCCACGGCGAAGCTAATATTTCCAACTCAAATTTAGTAACCTGGACTTGATAAATACCACTCCTCATCAAGAGGTATGTATGCATCATGACATCTGTACATTATAAGGCCGAACCTGGCTCTGCCTTCTCCATTAAATGAAAATTTTTCTGTCAGTACGGCACTTATAAAATAAATCTCCATAACAAATTTAAAATACTTCCAGAGATTTTCTATCCTTCCAGAGATATGTATTAAGAAATGTTTAGTATGTACGGTNTTTCCATTAAATGAAATTTTTTCTGTCAGTAAGGCACGCATAAAATAAATCTGCATAACAAATTTAAAATACTTCCAGAGATTTTCTATCCTTCCAGAGATATGTATTAAGAAATTTTTAGTATGTATGGGAGGCGACATGCCTCACTCACATTTTTTCCATGAGCAATTGATACATTTTGTATACACAACTCCATACCAAGTTACAGTATTCTTCCACAAACACTTCCAGGGATATGTGGCAAGAAAAAGTCAATTTATACAGGAAGTGCCACGCCCATTTTTCTTATAACCTTAATCTTCTTCCATGAATTTAGAGTTGATTTTACATGCCCCAGTAGCAAGTCCCAGTAATCTACCTTGAACACCTCTAGAGATATGCAGTATAAAACAGTAAATTTGTACGGGAGGTACCATGGCCCCTTTTCGAATAATGCAAATTTTTCTCCATGAGTATGGAATTAATTTNTCCGCGTATTAATTTAATTCAACTTTTCTAATAGGTGGCAACTCCTAAAATAGTAGCCTGTTTTCCAACGTAGGTCATAAGCTATCCCTGCGCCAAATTTCATGCAAATCCGTTCAGTCGTTTCTGCGTATTAATTTGGTGGCAACTCTTCCAAAAAATTAGCCTATTTTCCACTGTAGGTCATAAGCTATCTGCTTGCAAAACTTCATGCAAATCCGTTCAGACTTTTGCGCGTATTAATTTAATTACACTTTTTTACCAGGTGGCAACTCTTAAAAAAGTATCCCATTTTCCAACCTAGCTCATAACCTATCTGTGCAAAGACTTCCATGCAAATCAGATCACTCATTTCCGCGTATTAATTTAATGCAAATCTTTTCAGTCGTTTCCGCGTATTTATTTAATTAAGCTTTTTTAACAGGTGGCAACTCTCAAGAAAAGTAGCCTATTTTCCAATCTACATAGGTAATAAGCTATTTGTGTGCAAATTTTCATGCAAATCCGTTCAGTCGTTCCCGCATATTAAATAAATTAAACTTTTTTAACAGGTGGCAACTCTTAAAAAACTACAGTGGAAAATAGGCTAATTTTTTGGAAGAGTTGCCACCAAATTAATACGCAGAAACGACTGAACGGATTTGCATGAAATTTGGCGCAGGGATAGCTTATGACCTACGTTGGAAAACAGGCTACTATTTTAGGAGTTGCCACCTATTAGAAAAGTTGAATTAAATTAATACGCGGAGTGGAAAACGGTTCGCAACAAGAAATCAAATAGATATAAAAATATTGTTGTGGGCAGTAATACTAACATGCGACCTCGACGTTGTAATTAAAAAGAAGTGGTTACACATCTCTTCGTTCAAACCATCCGTGACTGAAGATAAAATAATTTCATATGTTGCTAATCAGTCAGGCGTTGACAGTCAACACCTGGCTTGCTACAAGCTGGTTAAAAAGGGTGCTTCTGTCGATAGTTTGCGTAGCCTTAACTTTAAATTTGGCGTTTCACCAGCATTCTACAACCAAATTGCGAATCCAGCTGTCTGGCCGACTAATATAAAAGTAAGACCGTTCCGCTTTTTTCAAAAACTGGACAACTCGGAAGCGAACCACTAGCCCAAATCGCAGCTGCAATGATAATAATCTGAAAATCTACTACCAAAATATATCTGGTATGCGAACTAAATGTGCAAAGGTTCGCATGTTAACTGCTCATTTGGAATATGACGTATACGTTTTTGTGGAATCATGGCTTAACGACAGCTTTTCTGATTGCGAAATCTTTGATTCTGACCTTTTCGACATTTTTCGCAAAGACCGTGATGCTGAGAAGACGGGATGTTCTAGAGGCGGTGGTGTTCTCATAGCGGCTCAACGGAGATTCAAAGCTTCACAAGTAACGCTCACCAATTCTGACTCGCTCCTTGATCAGCTTTGCGTCTGTATTCACAGCTCCTCCGGCGATATCCTTTATATATGTGCGTCATACATCCCGCCGAATAGCTCTGAAAGCCTATACGTTGCACATGCTGATAACTTCGTATCATTGGCGTCTGATGTCGTTGGTAATAATCACATTTGTGTTCTTGGTGATTTCAACTTTAGCCGGTTGAACTGGACTCCAAGTGGGGATTCTGCTGCTCTTATAACTGCAAACGTGAGCTCTCCAACAGAAATTTATATCGTTGATAGCTTTTCAAGTATTGGATTACAGCAAGTTAACTGTATTTATAACCAACTAAATAGACTATTGGATCTTACTTTTATCAGTGACAATGTAAACTTCACGTTATCGGAGTGTATGTCTCCCATCTCTCCGGCTATAATGCATCATGTGCCTCTCGCTCTTGAGCTGGAGTTTTATAACTTTGATTCATTGCCGGAAGATCGCAGTATTAATTTTAACTATAAAGCGAGTGATTTTTCTTCCTTAAATGATGCTCTATCGGATATAGATTGGAGTTATACTTTCCGTGGCAGTGATGTAACCTCTTGTTACCGTATTTTTAAGACCACCCTCTATGAGCTATGCCTACAGTACATCCCTATTCTTAAGAAGAAGGTGTACAAACTACCGTGGTACACGAAGCGTTTAAAGCATCTAAAAAATTTAAAAAACAAATTTAGCAAATTGTATAAATCCTCAAACGACTCCGCGCATCTTCTTAAGTTCCGGTACTTTCTAAAAGAATTTAATTGTTTGAACAAATTTTTATACCGAAATTATATTTTACACTTTGAAGCTAATATTATCTCGAATCCCAAATCTTTC